AAATTAGTTTGATTTAAAACGAAAGCCCGTTGTGTTCCCTTGCAGTGTCATTCATTTAATTAAGCACTCCCGCGATTGCGTTCTATATACATATGTTGAAGACAGGAGCATAAAACGGGCCGTGCACCTTTGATCAAAGGTCCGTAACAGATGGGCCAGTCGCTGTTTCTAACATTCGATTAACTTGCTGATTATAGTTCACTCATGTGTCATAACAGGTAGATGGATTTTTAGGATCAGATATGCAGTTAGCTTTTATACCATTCACATCGTATTACCTATACATACTTGATTTACGTTTTGGGCCGTAGAATATGATTTGCCATTAATTTAATGTGTCTATTTTGATATTTGCTTCATATTTCGTTTGTGTAATTGCTATAGCACTTCTGGACCTGATATTGTACATTACAAACGAACTGAGGAGAGATTTCAATGAAACATTTGAAATCCCTCTGTAATGGTACTCGTGAGTATGTGTAACTCCTTAAAAAGAAAACGATTTCGATTTTTTTCCGAATATTCTTTTGCAACATCGCATTGTGCAAATGTATGAATGTGTGTGTGTAGTCGAACATTTGCTGTGTGCGCAGAGCAGAATGATCATCATCATCATCATCATCGGCGGCCGTTACCGCTGCAGTGGTCCATCGGTCGGTCCCTCCGTGACGCTGTGCCCCAGGACATCATGACCGCGAAGCGGCAGATTGCAGAGCGCTGTCTCGAAGAACTACGGCGTACACACGCGACCGGCTGCCGCGGGGGTGGTAGCATTATTATGAAATATTGGCGTTCGAGCTGGCTGGCCGACTTGGATAGCCAAGCCAGAGCGCGTCGACGATCGAGAAAAAGAAGTCGTAGAGAACATCATAAAGAAAAAACAAACTTTCGGTATCTACTACTACTTATATACCACGCGATCGTATTTTTGTGGTTGAGAACGTGTAAGATTGAATGATTGATGTGTAGTCGGTATGTCACGTAGAGCAGTTCGAAATTACATGCGAAATTTCTTAAATTTCACATTTGGCTTACTACGGTTAAGTTCAAGACAATGTTTATAATGTCCGCTTATCGATGGGCAACTTTAGAATTAACGTAACAACTATCTCTAATTATTTGTGAGTCCTTTGCCCAGATGTAATTTGCAATATTGACTTTGCTCATACAATTTTTATTTATAATACTATACTAAAATACGCAACATTACTTGCATCCTTTGCCCACAAGTGTTTTGCAGATATTGATATTTCCCGGACAATTCATATTTACTACTACATATATACAATGCGATCATAATTTCGTGCTTGAGAGCGAGTCAACTTGAAGTGAAGGTAGTCGGTATTTCACATAGAACAGTTCAGAATTATATAGGAAGTTTATTAAATTTCACATTTTGCTCACTATGATTAAGTTCAAGGCAATATTTGTAATGCCCGTATAGTGATGGGCAATTTTAGAATTAACGTAACAAACATCTTAACTATTTGCGTCCTTTACCCAGAACTGATTTGTGATATTGACATTGCCCAGACAGTTCATGTAAAAACATATTTAACAGATTAGCGATTTGCAAGATTTTCGTCGTAAGGATAACTTTTGCATCAAAAGAAAAATTGGCACAGACATTAGCCATTGTGAATTTTTAAGCCCATAATTTTCGTTTAGGGTAAACTGTGTATGTATAATACGTAGATATTTTTCGCCTGTGAAAAATATGCGTCTTCTAGTAGTTGCCACCCAAAATATAGAGGTCGGAATGCCCCGAAAGGATGGCACGATTTCTCCTGTTCTTCTGCTCGAACCCAAACATTTACGAAAAACGTCAATTGCCGCTCCACGTAGGCCCTTCGGGGCTGGACGAGGAGCTGCTTCGTGAAGTGCATATTGTTGCAACAACTGCTGCTGTCCCGTTCTTTGTGTTTAAGTATTCGACGACGCTCCGGGGTAATATGCATTACATGTTTGTAACGTGTACACAGTACATATTACTTAGGCGTATACAAAGATGGAAATACGGGGTGTCCCTTTATTGTAATACACACCATATTGTCAAATTTAAACCATGATATTGATGAAAACGAACTTTTAGATAATTATATTTTACGAATTGTTAAAGGCTTCGACATTCTAAACAATACGGGATAAAATTTGGTGAATTCTCAGAATATCAGTTGAGAACCAGGCAGAAAATAAAATGTTGAAGTATTTTTTTGCATCCACAAAAGAAAAACGAGGAGTATGCAAGTGGATAAACGAATCGCAACAAAATTTTTACTTCAAGTTTTACGGGCAGATTCTTAACGTATTTGTCCATTTTGAAAACCTGCCCGTAAAACTTGAAGTAAAAATTTTGTTGCGATTCGTTTATCCACTTGCCCGTTACCATTCGTTTTTCCACTTGTCCGTTGAAGTTTCACTTCTATTAGGTATGTGTCCCAGCAGACATTTCGTTTTCACAGGTTTACTGCAAATTATGATTTGGTTTTTACACAGACCGCAAATGGAGGCAACGATGCCCAACCGCGTGGAGAGCAGAGGTAATAAAACAACAGATGAGCACAGCACACGCCGCCGGTACTCTAACGGACTCTCCGCTCTTCGCGCTGCTGCGCATTATATTCATCTAATACAGCTGTTGCCCTCTCACCGCCGGCGCCTGCCTTTCTCTCCCTTCGCCGCTGCCTCTCTCCACGCGATATACCGTCTATCCCCTCCTTGGGGCCATAACGCTTTTTCGTGACAGAAAAAATCGTAATACCCTTCGTCTATATGAATGTTTCACTTCCAAATTCTTCTACTGATCGGCTTAGAATTCAGCAAGTTGTTCCTATAGCTGAAGGTAATTGTACGATTTAGAGAATATTCTTATGCTCGGTTCTCAACTCGCCATTAGTGTATACTTAATAGATTTATAGGTACAGGTATCCACAACTACTCACTCATGTATGCAGATATAGTTGAGTACTTTTACGAAATGGCGAGTTCGTGACAGATGGAACTACGCGGCTGATGACTGGTTCGTGCCAGCTTGCGTTCCCCCAATTATTTGCATACGTAATTTGAAGAATGCGCGTGTAATTTAGCGAAATTGCGTCTTGAACGGACACGTCTCTTTTTTTGCTGTTGCCGTTCAATGTGGATAGGTATATGAGCTTCCAATCGTAGCAGCCGATCTGTAACAAATCTATACTTACCGACATTTGCACCTCACGATCGACGCCTCGACGCCATTGCCAAAGGTACCTACACTTAGAAAAACCTACCCACAATAATCATTACGGTACATAGAACTACATGAGCGGAGATACAATATAGTATACTACTTGAAATAGGAGATAAAGTATACACAGATAGAATAAATAGAAAATTTCCCGATTTCAGAGACAAATGTCTTATCTTTTTCTAAACTTACTTCACGTAAATGATACCAAATTAATTGAAAAAATGCCCAGTTAATAATTAATTGAATATAAACAATGAAATAAGAACGTTCAACGGTATTAAATACCACACCTTTTCTATGCTTAGTTAATAATTAATTGAATGTAAACAATGAGATAATAACGTTCAACAATATAAATACCGCACAGCAATGTGTGGCGATGTCAACAGGATCAGATAGTGGAAAGTGATTGAATAGAAGAGCCCGCCCCGATGCACATAGGTGATGTGCTATGGACTTTGCTCTTACATTAAGGGTTTGGTGAGAGAGGATTCTCTGATGGTTGAATTGGGGCTTGTGTGAAGTGCTATATCTCATAGACTTAGGCTATCTATAAGAGGTTATAGTGAGAGGCGATGCTCTGGTTAGCTTGTGTGAAATGCCGTGCCTCACGGGTTTAATAGGCAAGGTTATGGTGACAGAGGATTCTCTGGTTGGCTTATGTGATGCTATACCTCATAGACTTAAGCTACCTATAGGAGGCTATAGTGAGAGGGGATTCTCTGATTAACATGTGTCATGTGCTATGCCTCATGGGCTTAATAGGCAAGATTATGGTGGCAGAGGATTCTTTGGTTGGCTTGTATGAAGTGCTATATCTTATAGATTTAGACTGCCTATAAGAAGCTATAGTGAGAAGGGATTCTCTGGTTGACTTGTGTGAAGTACTATACCTCATAGACTTAAGCTATCTATAAGAAGCTATAGTAGGAGGGGATTCTCTGATTGGCTTGTGTCATGTCTATGCCTCATGGAGTTAATAGACAAAATTATGGTGACAGAGGATTCTCTGGTTGACTTGTGTGAAGTGCTATACCTTTTAGACTTAGGATACCTATAGGAGGCTATAGTGAGAGGGGATTCCCTGATTAACTTGTGTCAAGTGCTGTGCATCATGGACTTAGTAGACAAGATTATGGTAACAGAGGATTCTCTGGTTGGCTTGTGTGAAGTGCTATACCTTTTAGACTTAGGATACCTATAGGAGGCTATAGTGAGAGGGGATTCCCTGATTAACTTGTGTCAAGTGCTGTGCATCATGGACTTAGTAGACAAGATTATGGTAACAGAGGATTCTCTGGTTGGCTTGTGTGAAGTGCTATACCTTTTAGACTTAGGCTACCTATAAGAGGCTGTAGTGGGTGAGGATTCTCTGATTACCTTGTGTAAAGTTGATGCCTCATGGACTTAAGATTATGGTGATAGAGGATTATCTGGTTGGTTTCTGGGAAGTGTTATGCCTCATGGACTTAGACAAGAAGACTAAATTGTGGTGAGAGAGGGTTCTCTGCTTGATTATGTGAATTGCCACCTAAGAGTGGATTCTCATATTGATTTGTGTGATGTGCTGTGCCCCATGGGCCTAGGCTGATGAGAGAGGATTCTCTGATTGACTTGTGGGAATTAAATTGAATTGAACGTTTTGGTTCATTAGAACATTTCACAAACCTCTCGGCTTATTTTTACTTCTAATAACATTCAAAAATAATTTAAAAAACTTTAAATTTTGTGTTTTTGTGATAACTTTTCCACTTATTTGATTTTTTATTTTCAGATTTTTAACGTCGAAGGTGCTTGTTACGGACGCGTAGTTGTGGTGTCGAGATGGAAAACGGCCGCAACGTTTTCCCGGATTTCGCGGTGTCGCCGTCGCCGGTGCGTCGCGACGCGTCGTGGTATTCGGGAGTAAGGAAAAAAATCGGGACGCGTATTATACGTTGTCGTTGAACGACATTCGATGCAAATCGCCTGGGGGTGGGCGTGTCCTGTGGCCTGTCCTCGGGTCGCGATTGGCTGCGGAAAAGTTGCCGAAGGAGGAGTTTGTGCTGGGGTCCCCGGAGAACCCCACTTCGCCGGGTGCCCCGGGCCCGACCTCCGGGGCAACGCAGTGCCCCGCAGTGCTTTATCGTGGAAGTGTTTCGTTTTATCCAAGGCACCGCGTCCTCCCGGTTCCTCAGGCTGGACTCAACTTCTTCCTGCAGAAGGAGAACAGGATAACGAGGAAAGATCCACAGTGACGGTGAGTGAATAAACGATAAATTACCTGATACTTATTGCCTACTCTAAGGCTGTCAACGTTGGAATTTCATTTTTTGGGACTTGAGAATAGGAAAAGTGGGACCATGAAAATATAATCGGGATGTAGTTTTAAATCAACTTTTATTATTATAATGAGAAAGGAAATATGTTAGATCTTAAAAAACAGGACAAATTATGTGCGTCTCGCCGGCGTCTTTAGAGCGACACGGAATATAAAAGCATGAAATTGAGGTTTTCCCGCTTGAATCCGAATATTCAGGGCAGTACAAAATACGTAAATGAGGGTACTTTTGTATCTAGTTGTACTTTGTAAGGATGGGGGAATTTAGTTTAGGCAAAAACATATAAAAATAAATAGAACTTACTTATTTAAATAAATGCTTAAACGTCAAGGTACAGGCCTGACGCTGGAAGCTGGCGGAAATTTTAAAATGGCGTAGATGCGCGGTGGCAAAAGTAGGCAGTTTTAGGTATAACAATTACAGCCCCCTTTCTTCAGTATCACTATCAGGGGTGTAGATTAAATATTTAAAAATAGGGATCAGTGAGCAAGTAATAGACATACGAACAGAAGAACTAATTGTTGATGTTCGTGACAGTGATAGAGATTCCCATGATGACAGTGAATGTGAAAACTAACTATAAAACAAAAGCAATAGGTTTATTTTTTCTTTTTGTTATGTTTCTACATTATTTTCTAGTACGCTACTGTATTAATAGTATAATTTACGCCTACTGAAAGCTTATTTGTGTATCGGTTCCAAGTGACTTACCCAAATAGATCATAAATGGGCAAGTACCTGCGCGACCACTCGCCAGTTTCCTTCGACAGACCTGTACATCCATTTTAGTTTTGCCTGTAGGTATTATCCAGGTAAAACTCAAGAAAACTGATTCGTATTTAGGTCCATCCAATTTTTCTCGAATTGAAATGGAATAGGACTAATTAGATTTCATTTCTTATATTCTCCACTCCGTCCTATCCTGATCCAACTTTCGCATTTTCCAAATATTAGAATTTCCCAAATCCCTCATCTAACTGTTTCCGAACAGTAACCTAATCCAGGTCTTTTTCTGCTTATCTTTACTCCTGTTTCTGCTTCTAATAAGTATGCTTGTAAGTACCCCTTTTATATACACGCGGTATGTTTAAGATCGCACCCGTTCAGAGCCGTACTCTAAACAAATACTTTTAACAATAATAAATTAAAAATTTAAAGGGAAGTAAACTAGATTATAATTAATATTTCTGGGAACTAAGGAGTAAGTGGAAGTTTAAACAGTCGAACGGTTGATAGTACCTAAACTGTTTTAATTTTAGAGCGGAGGTAAAATGGTACTATCGTACGAAGAAAAGTCAGGGATTCGTAACCGGTGTACCTATTAGTTAGTTGATAGTTATTTCTACAGATTATTACCCAGTGAATTGGATCCCGCCATCTTCCAATTAAGTATACAACTGGCTCGGTCTCATTTAAATTTAAATAAATTCTCTCATGTGCCTGCAGGTTTGTTTGTTGAAAATTTAAAAGGCGATAAACGTTGACCCGGTCCGGTTGATAGATTTCGTGTCCCCGCGGGGTGGACCTCGCTCTCTTTCACTTTTTCCGATAGCGTTTCTCATTTTTCTTCTCTCTCTCCACGCTCGCACGCTCCGTCGCAGACAACAAAAAACATAACGACAATAACAATTCCTATAACGGAAGAAGATGATGATTGAAAGGTGTTTCCTTCAGGCTCTTTTCTGTACGGTTATTAATAGTTTGTCATTAGTACAAATTACCGCCAATTACGGTCGGTTTTAAATGGCATAAATCAGTTTTCTCATAAATTTGCTTAGTTAATATTTTTCTGTTTTTTTTTTTCGTTTAGTTTTTTAGTTTCTGTTTCGATTTCTTTAAGAGTTTATTTAAGATTATTATTTAAGAGGTATTCACATGGTGACTTTTATTGCATGGTACGCAAGCAGCAATAATCGTTCAATTTAACCTGCTAACAGATACACCTATTGGGATCCGTCAAATGGGCATACACCATCTGGTGGCAAAATTTATAACACGAATGAGGGAAAAATTTACATAGGAACTGTGCACGCAAATTGTAAAACTGTTTATTAAAATAATAAAACACGTTAAAAAAGTAAAAAATTTTTTGATGATGGAGTCGACGAAGTTTTCTTCTAAAGTTAAGTCAAATAAAAAGTTAATATGTTCAGCGGAAAGCTGCAATAGCATTTCAGACATAGATCTTCACTCTTCACATACATTAACTACTTTCCAATAAAAACTAACCGTTTTATAAATGTAAAAAATATATTCGGAAAATTAGAGAAAAAAGTAAACTAATAGAAGCTTGGATGAAAGCAGTAGGTATCAAAGAAGCGAATTCCGGAATAAAAATTTGTTCACGTCATTTTAATGCACATGATTATATTTCAGCAAGTATATTTTTTGGAAAAACGAAATATAGTAGAATCCGCTTATAATGACATCGAAGGGAAATGACAAACACGTCATACTAAGTGGGCGTCGTACAAACCATAGTCTTAGAAAAATAACTTTCTATTTTGGTTAGTTATTTAGTTTAATAGAGAGAAAAACTACCAATTGTATATATTTATTAACAGAAGAAGAAAAAGAACGATGAATTGTAATATTAATATACGGTTAGAAAATTGAGCGAAAATGTTATAATTAATAATTTGGTTCAATATAGCCGGATATGATTTCTTGAGAATCAGTCATAATAAACGATATGTCATTTTAAAGGGAGACATTATATCCAAATATTCCTATAGAGAATTTAATATGAAAACCAAACTTTAATTAAGCGGTTGGTCAATATAGACGGAGTCATAATAAACGAATTCCACTGTATAACATTTACAAAATAATAATTTAATTGTTGCAGTGATCCTGATAAGGATGTCATTTCTGGCGACCATGGATGCGAACGCATGGCAGGTGAGTCTTTTTTTCCACTTTCTTTTGCATTTGTGGTGGGGTAGAAATTTGATGACAATGTGTGCTTTTAATTTTTTATTTATTACCCTAATGCATACATATTCTGTATACGAAAATTGGATCTCCTTGCTCGAAATTGCCAAAGAAAGTTGCAAGAAAACACAACAATCAGATTATCTGTAAACGGATTGAAGGTGTTTATGAGAGGCCAAGCAGGCGAAATTATTAAATCACTGTCCGACCAGTTTATTTCCTCTTCAATTCCGCAATTTTGTGATTCTATTACTCGCGGTTTTAGAGCTTTACTGTAAGTCCTTTTAGTTCACAAACTAATGGAAACACCAACAAATGGCATTGTACATTAAACTACTTACGATTAGCGCTTTTTAAGACCGATATGAATAGAATTTTTACTTTTTTTAAGCAATTACCCAAAAACCAAATGCAAAAAATTGTTTGTATGTATTTTAAACTCTTTGACTATCGGATAGCTAAACTTATCCCTCATTAATAATCGAATAATCGTTTTTGTCATCTCTAATATGGTAAGGAAATTGAGGGATAATATGACACATTATGAGACTTGAAGGGCTAGTTAAAGACTTATTAGAAGCAGAAATAGAAGTAAGGAGGGACTGAGCAACATCTAAATCAGATTGTTGTTCGCAAGACTCAGGATAGTCTTTGGTAGATACCTGTTGGTTATATTAAGATTGGCAATGGTTCGCTGGTTTAATTGTAACAGTAATGAAAAATAGTAAAACTCCAATTGTACTTTATTGATCAGTAACAACAGAAAAACGTATTAACACAACGGGAGCTTCTTAGGAACTAACTATTAAAATGTACAATCTCTGCAGCCTCCTTAGGGCCATAAAATCCAGATGTGGCCTAAAGTGACCTCGACAATACGAATACATATTTCTATAGAACTAAACTCATCGTTGATTTCCAACAATACCGATTCAGATTTTTGTTTGCATAAATGAAGAGTATCAGCTAGCATTACTATTATCATCATAATAGAGTCGTCAGTTCTAAGACTGCCTGGATAGGTACCTCCACTCTTTCCTATCCTAAGCTAATCTAATTCCCTAAAACTAGAACTACTTGTGAATAGTAATCTTATCTAGGTCTACCTACTCCTTGTCCTCTTAACTTTTGTTTCTGCTTTTAACGTATACCTGACTAGTCGCCAATGCCTCAGAAATACCCTTAAATTATATTTTAATTTGATAAAGAATTTTCATCTCGAAATTTCATTATTTGTCAATCAAAACCTTCAAACTACATTCTTATTTATACGAAAATATGGCTGAATTAAGATATTTGTTCGAATTTTTTATACGTCAAAATTTTCAAGATGATGCCGCATGTAAAAGAATATCCCTATACGTTTGGTTTTCAAGTGGCCTATAATACTGCAGGTATATGTATTTCTGTTTCAAATTGACTTTGAATTGGCTAAGTCTAATATCTCCTATGGTAATTATAAAAAACTCATATACTTACTGTGCCTTTCTTTGAAATTATTTATAACTATAAAAAATTCTGAAAGGCCTTCTTGACACCAATACACACACGCGAACATACCTAGATACACGTACGTACACATTGTACTTAGCTAGGAAGGAGGTGTACGTTTATTACACACTGTTTTTGAGATGATGGTTTCTTCGAAACTTCATAAATATTTACCTTGTGCTTGCTGAGCCGTTTGTTCTGTGTCCTTTGATATTGTTCGTATCAAACGCGGCCGTGATGAGATGAGTTGTACTGACGTCATCTACACCTAAGGTTCCGGTGACCTAGTTTTAATGAAAAAGCCTTCCGACGAGAACCAACGTTTCCCGTGATACATTTTGTGATGTTTTTCAAACGAAAATTGAAACATTAAGACAGTAGAAAACCCATCTTTTGACGAATATCCGCCATTTTAAAAACCACCCCATCTTGGATTTGCCACCTTAAATATTGAGACTGGACCAAGTGTTCGACTATATTCCTTTTTTTGGCCAGATTACTTAATTCAAACTGCGTTATCTTCTAAAATACTAAAATTAACAATTATTGACCAATAATGCTGGTGCTTCAGAAAGAATAAAATTCATTTAAATACGACAAACAAAATTGTACTAAAATTATAATAAATGTTATCTTAATATACAAAAAATTACTTGTACTCCTATTTCTTGTCTTTGTGTTGCCCATTACTTCAAGTCGACTCAAAGTTTCTGTTTTGATCGGAATACAATTCCATTGATACTCCGTGATGATTGTTCCAAATATTGACCAGCTTTTCGGCAACGGCGTGTGCTTCCTAATCTGCATACTTCGGGCCACTTGCTAAAGTAATCCATGACAACCAAGACGTATCGATTACTTCTGTCTGTTAATCAGAATGATCCTGCTACGTAGTATGTGATTCTCTCAAATGGCGTTCACATCCTGTACTGCTACATTCGTCCACGACTTCAGTCCATTACTGACGATGCATGTCGGTTATTTTCTGCACCAAACTTCCACGTCGCTTCTAATACTATGTAGCTTAACTTCCTTAGAGTCTTCATAATGCTGAAATGTCCTTTGCCATGGATTACTCCCAGAACTTTTGAAACTCTGTTCTTTGGAAATTTGCTTCTCGTTCCTTACGGACGCCCCCCCCCCAGATACTTTTTAAAATGCCGTGGTGTAAGATAAGGTAAGATAATTCTACTGAGCCCAATAAATTTTGGGCACCTGACTTTGTTGGCTTACGTTGGTCCACGATGGTCTCAAGATCTCGGATCTTTTCCATTTCATTATTGGGCCAATATACTCGTCCTTCTTCTGGTCATCGATTAATTCATTATCTTCCTAGGATCCCTTAGGTTGAAGGGTGGATATATTACAACAGATCATTATCAGTCTTTCTTCTCCGAAGATGATAGCAGTTTTCCTCACAAGATCTACGGAGTAGTGCATCTGGATTGTCATGTTGTTTGCCTGGACGATGTTCAATATCAAACTCATATTCGTCTAGTTGTTGTCTGTCCTTTAAGGTTTTTCAATAACAGTAACCACTTCAACAAGGCGTAGCGCGTCCTTAATTAAGAGGAACTACAGGCATTTCTGGAAATGTTCGAGAGTTTTAATCACACCCAATCGTTCTTAACGGATGACATCAATTGTAGGAATATCAAGATTGGGGCTCCTAGGAGTGTAATATTCAAGTTTTAAAACCGTTTCTAACATTCAGATGTTCATTGGAATGAAACTCCAATTTATGTTGTGGTAGGGTTATTAAATCGGCAATCTTCACGAATCATCGATAGTAGGAGAAATTTCCCAAAAAAAGGTTCGTTACTATCTTTTGGTATGAGCTAACCTCGTACGGCATCTGTTTTGTCAGCGTCGGTCTTAATTCCTTCTGGTGTAATAAGTTGTTATGTTTAAAAATTTAAAAATTACAACAGCATTTTTTCTAATATTTTGGTAATTTTGGGATTTCAATTAGGACGTCACCCGTAACATTTTTACCAATTTTTAACTAGTTATTTCAAATGTCTGGGTTCGGGCATCTTTTTGTCTTAGTTAATTGTATTATGACCTGTCTGTTGGTTTGCTCATTTAGTTCATAAAATCTATACACTTTTTAATCATCAGAGATAGATGAAGGTACCTAATACTCGACAGGCAATTTTACTAAAAGAATAATCGGAATTTATTCACAAAATCGGGATTTTTTCTACTACTTCTGAGAATAATTAATGCGAGTTGTTAATATTGTCTAATAAGTTTTATAATGCGAAGGTTGCACGTACCAAGCAACCTGTTATTAGCATTAATTGACTGATCCATTAGGCGTTATAATAACATTGTTTAAAGTTTTCTACCGTTTTAATAGCATCATCGTTCTCTTTGTAGTTATTTATTTAGTACCGACCGCTTGTGATTAAGTTTTAATTATTTCTGAAACTCTAACATCATCAGGTATATATTTGGAAATGGGTAACATGAACGGAGTGGCCTAAAACAAAAGTTTTATTTTTTCGGAAAACCTCTATAATAGGTGGATTCTTTCTGGGGTTTCCTCTTAGCAATGAGGAGATATTATAAACAGTAAGAGAATAAAATCTAAAAGAAATAAGCGAGATACGCTGCTAGAACACATGAAGGGCTACCCGACTAGAATTTTATGGGGGGGGGGTGCAGGTAGGGTCCCTTGTGGGTCCCATGAGATTGCCCCCTAAGGCAAGAAAGGGGCATATAAGGCCTTGCGGTATTTGCGCATCATCAGGAATGCCGCATGTGCCCCCGCAGGGAAAAATTACTGCTACCCATTAAAAAATTTTTGGAACTTTATTATTAATGAAAAACAAATGCAATATATACATATATCACTTACATGTAAAATTTGTTTGCTCTTAAGTAAGATTGTGTTATTAGGCTGTTTTGTAGTCAATAATACATTAAATTGCAGTCGTTTTTGTTCGACTTGATGCCTTTGGTTTCAGTTTTCCTATAATAAGAATATGAGGAAGGACACTTGTTGGTTTGTTGCAAATGAAAAAGGTTTCATTGAAACAACGACATAATTGGGCGGGGGGATTATTATTAGTTTTTCCATTTTACCGAGAGTATTTTCAAACGGATTTGCCCCCATACCCCCATAAGTTAGATTTAATTGTAAGTTTATACATGTGTTAGGTTTGCTCCTTAAGACTAGGGTTGCCACCTTTTCAGGCTTTACATAAAGTATTTCTCGACTAAAAGGTTCAAAAAAAAAAATACTCAGCATAAAAATAAAGTATTTTATTTTTTGTTTTTAAAAATATATTTTTTGTTACACCTAGCAGCCAGTAACAAATTGCTGTCGCTCTTAAATACATTAATAGCCTCTAAACATGGTAAACAAAGATTTAAGTACACTCAAAGTTAATTTTTAATTAGTTTTAATGAAGCTTTATTCCTGTCGTCCCGTCACTTTGCGTTCATAACAGAGAATACTCTTTTTGTAA